CGGTGCGCGCCTGGGATCTGAACCCGGGCCGCCAGTAGCGGAGTGTGCGCACTTAACCGCTAAGCCACGGGGCCAGACCTAAATTTTTTTTTAATGTCCAAATCTTTTTTATGCAGTTTTCAGTTTAAAATCTGCACCAAAGTACAATTTTTTGGTTCTATTATGTAACTAAGTTTTGTTTATTTAAAATTTTTTTAGTGTTCCTAAGAGAAATCTGTATTACATTCCTAAGCAGTGTGTTTAGTGTGCTTTTTCTTTTAATCTGGAAGCATATAGTAAGTTGCATTAAAATATTGAGGATTTTTTCAGTGAGGTTCTCATGATACAGTCAGATTCAACATTGACCATCTGCTAAGCACCGGGCTCTGTGCTGATGTAGGGGTACAAAGATGAATAAGAGCAGACTCATGCCTCTAGAAGCCTACCCATAGTCTGGATTGGCTAATGTTTTTAACTGAAGGGCTGGGCAGAGAGAATGTAGGAGCTCAGAGTCCCTGGGGGAAGTCGTCTCTAGAGCAGTGGCCTCAAAAGTTTTTAGTGTTTTTTCTATCAGTAAATAGGGTTGAGAATGCACACATATTATGTGAATGTTTGTTTTAAATTACAGGGCCGGCCCCGTGGCTTAGCGGTTAAGTGCGTGCGCTCCGATGCAGGCGGCCCGGGTTCGGATCCCGGGCGCGCACAGACGCACTGCTTCTCCGGCCATGCTGAGGCCTTGTCCCACATACAGCAACTAGAAGAATGTGCAGCTATGACATACAACTATCACCTGGGGCTTTAGGGGAAAAATAAATAAATAAATTAAAAAAAAAAAATTACAGTTAGAATGTTGACTGTACTCTGTATTATGTACATTTTATTTTTTTTTATTATTTTTATTTATTTATTTTTTCCCCCAAAGCCCCAGTAGATAGTTGTATGTCATGGTTGCACAGCCTTCTAGTTGCTGTATGTGGGACACAGCCTCGGCATGGCCAGAGAAGCAGTGCGTTGGTGCGCGCCCGGGATCCGAACCCCGGGCCGCCAGCAGCGGAGCGCACGCACTTAACCGCTAAGCCACGGGGCCGGCCTATGTATTATGTACATTTTATAACGTACAAAAATAGACATTTTACAAAAGGATGAGCTAAAGCAAATATAAGTAGAAGTTCCAGTATTGTCTTTCCACATCCTAGTGTGTGAATAATACCTGTGCCCCTGGGGTAGAGACCATTGGTCTTGTAGTGGGACCTTCCCCTCAACCCATTAGGTCTCTTGAAATTCCTTTCTGGAGTTGTGCCTAGGTTGAAATCTTGGGGTCCATCCTTAATAGCTTTGAGACTTTGGGCATGTTACTTAGCCTTTCTGTGAACTTTATTTTCATCATCTGTAAAATTGAGGTGATGAGAGTTCCTACCTTATTTGCAGTTTTATTGTGATGATTGATAATGTGTGTATGTTAATATAATGTCTATGTTAATATATATAAAGTATTTTTTTTTAATTTAATTAATTAATTTATTTTTCCCCCAAAGCCCCAGTAGATAGTTGTATGTCATACTTGCACATCCTTCTAGTTGCTGTATGTGGGACGCGGCCTCAGCATGGCCAGAGAAGCGGTGCATCGGTGCGCACCCGGGATCCGAACCCGGGCTGCCAGCAGCGGAGCGCACGCACTTAACCGTTAAGCCATGGGGCCGGCCCCTATATAAAGTATTTATACTGTGCTTGACACACTCTGTTTTGGGTATCGTTAGTGGCTGAGGATACAGAGATGATGGTCTCACAGCCTACTAGGGGCCCTGCACAGGTACATGGACAATGATCAAGTGCTATAAGTGCTCAAAGCAAAGGCTTTTGGGAATGCAGAGGAGGGTTAACTAATTGTTTTTTGAGGGTCCAAGTAAAGTTCAGGTAAGGAGGTGACATTTGAACCAGGCTTAAGAAGGAGAGGGGCTTTTTCCAAGAGGAGGAGGGGTGGGCCTTATTGGCCAGAGGTATAGAGTGGAAACTTGGAGGCTGTTGAGAGCTTGGTGAATAGTTCTCCAGATCTGGACCTGCAGGGAACCTGATTGAAGCTTGTAAACCTTATTAATAGGATAACAGTGAGTTCTGGCTAGAGTTCTGCCTGGCAGGGGCCAGATGGCAAGGAAGCCTATTCCAGAACTTTTCCCTGCACCACAGCCCTTTCCTCTCTGCTGGTACTTACCTCATTTTGCCTTCTAAGTTATCAAAGAATATAAACTACTAAATATAAGCTCCTTGGGCCGGCCCCGTGGCTTAGTGGTTAAGTGCGCGCGCTCTGCTGCTGGCGGCCCGGGTTCGGAACCCGGGGCGCGTACTGACACACCGCTTCTCCGGCCATGCTGAGGCCGCGTCCCACATACAGCAGCTAGAAGGATGTGCAGCTATGACATACAACTATCTACTGGGCAAAAGATAGTTGGGGGAAAAAAATAAATAAATTATAAAAATAAATAAATAAATATAAGCTCCTTGAGGGTTATGACAATATCTGCATTTTTGTGATTTTATTTTGCCTAGCAAGGTAAGTAGAAAATCTGTAAGTGTGGGGGAAAGGTGTATAAATCATTGGACCATCAAAGAATTCTGAAATTACAAGTGGAATGGTAAATGATCATACTTACTAGTGAAAAACTTGCTTACAGATATTTTATGGTAGATAGGCCCTGTGCATTACTATTCAAAAGGGGTGAGAATTGTCATGTTCAGTAACGCTTTCCTTATCTGGCAGTTACCCAGTAGGTTGAAAGTAGAGATGTGAAAGTGCACCAGAAAGACTTCTCTCAGGTTGAATTAGGTGCCTACCATTTGCTCCTCTAGATCCACACTCCATCCTTTCCCACCCTGTTCTCTGCCAATAGACTGCATCAGTGGGCTTCCTTTCCCTCTGAGGTTGCAGAATTTAATTTCCTATGGGTGTTGCCTCCGGCTTGCTATGTCCCTTGATTGAAGATTGCTGTTCCTCTAAAGGTGGTTCTCTCTACATGACTCGCTCCTTCTAGGTTTGGAAAGCTTTTATTCCCTTTGTTCCTTGGGCTTAGAGGTACTCTTACTAGTCCCAGGGAACTACAGTTATCCCTTGTGATTATCTTACATCCTTCCCACACCTTTCTTTATAGTCCCCTTATTAAACTTTCTTTGAATTATGCTTACTGGAGTATACTGTCTTTTCCTGCTGGGCCCATGGCTGTGATTGAAGCTTGTATACCTTGTTAATGGGATAACTCCTCAAACTTGCACTCAAAGCTTACTCATATTCTGCATATACTTCAAACAATGGT